TGTGTCAACTTCCCCATGGCCCTGCACAGAGTGTGCAGGCCCTTTCCTTTAAAGCCCTGAGAATTTACATAACCCCGGAATTGTAGCAATGTGAAATGTGGCTCTGGTTACAATAACAAGGATTTAGGGAACGCAGAGAGAGATTGGAACTGCAACGGCATAAAAGCAAAACAAAACCAAACCCCACATGCTGTTTTAATTTTCAGCAGCCACGTGAGAACTGTCCTCTGGTTTCTGGCTATAAATAAATTGCTGCCGTCACAGGAAGATGGAAAACAAAACAATTTGCATTCCTCCCAAATTTTCTTAAGGTTATAAAAAAGGAAAGGTAAATGTTTCTTAAGCAAAGTATGTCTGTGCAGAGGAAGGTTTAATTAACACTCAAGGGGACTGGCATTTGCATCAAGTGAAGAAGTTGGACCTTAATCCTCTCCGCCCCCTGCCTCCCTGCCAATCCTCCCAAGCAAATCACTTAGAACTGACTGTGGATTTAAGACACAATGCCATAGTGGTGTGGCTGCTAAGGATGTGGAGGCCTACTGTCCCAGTAGCAGTTTAGGCAGGCACAATGCCTTTGAGAGTCGCGCCTGCTGCTAGCCCCTGTTACAAAGCACAGCCTACCTCTTCTGGCTGGTGCTCTGCTGGAGAGGTGGAACCTTGGTCCCACATTTGTCCCGCCCCTTCTATCTCCTTTACAGAATCTAATGCCTCTGCCAGTACTAGACTACCTGGGGAAGCAAGGACCAGGACTGTGAGTGGCTCCTCTGCAGAGACATGAGAGTGAAGGGAAGGGTCCTTGGGCTCTCTCCCCAACCATGTGCATTTATGCAAAGTCAGGCACAATCTTACCCTTACGTTTTTCAGAGACAGCTTCAACCATAGGCTGAATGGAAGACCAACTGAAGTGTTAGCAGATATGCACTGACTCGGGGAGTGGGGGAGTTTTGCTGCAGTAAGAAGTTGCCCAAATAGAAGAGCTCTCTCCTCTGAAAATCCATCCGTTGGGTGTGGGAAGTGGGATAGGGGATAGCTAGACCTAGAACACCCTTGCTCACCAGAAATTGATCCCAACATGAAGGCTACAAGAAGAAGCTTCCCAGAAGACTTTGTACAACAGGAACCCATTCAAGGACCACAGGCTTTAGGAAAGGGCTGGATGACCAGTAGGCAAGTCCTCCATCATAGCAAAGGGGCAGGGAATAGAAATGTGGCTGAGCTGGGATGAGACAGGTTAAGAGATGGAGGATCAACTTAATGTCTTGGACAGTGGAACAAAAATATTCTTTATATATTGTACTTACAGCCAGTGCACTGTACTGGAAATTAGTACTGTTAGGAAGAGGCAAGCCAAAGAGATAGCCTTTGAATTCAGATCTGGATTAGGTACGGACAAGGGATCAGGCTCCATGGCAATGACATAGGGGTGGGTTGGATCTTGGAATTTCAGTAAAGGGGCAGGATAGGAAGAAGGTCAAATATGAAGCTCTGACTTTGGTGTCTGTACTGTTAATGGACCTTCCTGTACCTTCCTCCTCATCAACACTCGGCTGAAAAGTCATCAGTACCGTCTCTTTATAGCATTATGAATGGGTGCTGTGGCAATTACTATGCTGTCACAAATAAAGGACTCTGACTTCAATTCAAGAATACAAAACAAAAACAAATGAACTTTTAAGAAACAAGGTTACTGTTTTCATGCAAATGTCCCCAATAATGAAGAAAATCTGAAGAAGAGAAATACAGAGAGTATTGTATAATGTACAATTTACACTTATACAAAGCACATTCTACCCAAAGATCTCAAAGTGTATTACAATGTATTAGCCCCATTTTACTTATGGGGAAAACAGAGCAAGAGAGAAGTAGGGGTATATTTTTAGAAGAGTTGAGGCCAAGTGTCCTTGTTTTTGAGGCAGAGGGACAATTTGAACCCACATTTTGCAAGCACAAAATTAATAGTGAGCACAAATGTGAATATTTTCATCACTAACTACCCAGTTTTCCCTCACAGCTTGATAGCTGGGAGTACAAGTACTTAGATTTGCATTCACAGTTCAGCTGTGGATATAAAAATGTTGGCACACATTTTGCAGGTGCAAATTACTCTTGCCCTTCTGAAAAGTTATCCCTGTGTGATTAGCCCAAGGTCATGCATAGAGTCAGTGGCAGAACTGGGTATAGAACCTGTGAAGTGTGATCTAATACTAGATCATACCTCCTCCCACAGAAGTTTGGTTCTAAATTAAATGTCTCAATAAGCAGTGAGTGTCTCTTTAAAAAAGGTAGTGTAGTCTTTGCAGCCAACTAGATTCAGCAATAGAAATACTAATGGATATTGTTCTAGTTGAAAATCTAAACAGAGGATTTTAACTCTTGCTATTAAAATAGGGAATGTGTTCTTATACCAATGAGACAGAGAGTGAGTGAATGAATGCAGGTGTAAGGTGCTATAAAGTTTTTACTTCAATGTGTTTGGGGTGACCACATTACTCATAAGTGGTTGGATCATGGGTGGGTTATGCAGGTCATCCCAAATAAATGCCAATAAAATGCTTTGACTCCCCTCACATCATGAAGGATCCTATTTATACTATTTTTTTCTTTTTTCTTAGCTGTCCCTTCCTCCCACCCCCCTTTGAAGTACATTACTACTATGGGAACAATGTCACTAGTCAAGACAGGGCTTAGATTCAACACCAAGTGGAGTATAAAGCCAGTCTGTATAATAGTTTGAAATCTATAGTGTGACCCATAGGACTTTACATGATGATTATTTTGACCATATATGTGGTTTTAATAAATATAAGTGAATTGAATGGCTCGGGCACTCAGGCTGGATCCAGAAATATATTTAGGTACCCATCGCTCAGACTTAAACATCTAAGCTCCAGTTTTAGGCACCACCACAATCCACAGTGACAGAATCTGCATTTTGTGTCTTTGCTGTCCTTATCTTTGCCCTTTTGTGTGTCACAAAGTGAGCCGAGCCTTTAAGCGAGTGTTGGGTTCAACCTCAATATGACTAGTTTACCTCTCAGTCCAGGTGTCATGTGATGGAAGTACACGACTAGGAATCAGGCCTGCTGGGGAATATAAGGGCAGCCTGAATTCAGTCAGTGAGGCTCAGGGTTTTAAGAGTGTTTAATGCTTATTGAAATTAATAGCAGTTGGGTGCCTACATACCTTAGAGGCTCTGGGCCTGCGAGTGTGTTGGGGAGAGTTCTGCAGGGTGTCTGTGGGGAGGAATGGGGAGAACTTGGGAGATAAACCTGTAGGAGACTTAGGGTTAGAGAAGACCTGGGAAGTCACTTTCTACACCAATCAGATGGAAAGGCCTGGGTGGAGCTATCTGCCATGAGGGGCAGGGGCCAGAAGCCTTAAGAGATGTATATGGCTTATATGTCAATGTGGTGAAAGGAATACCAGGGAGCAGGACCTCAGAATGGGATGGAACTATTGAGCCAGCAAAGGGCTGAAGAAACTGTAGAGTTGAGAAAAGACTGGCTTTGGTTTAAGCTGACATTTGAACTGTGATGTGGTTTTAATAAATTATAGAATCCCAAGAAAGGGGTGCACTTGAATGACATGGGTCCCTATGTGCGGTTTTTGGGAGCTCATGAAGGGGAAACTGAGGCAGTGGAAGGGCCTGATGATAGATTGGATGAGCCCTGCTACCTTATGGCTCTTCAGTGTACCTTAGGATTGAGGTAGCAGCAGCTGGTGCATCTTAGCCCAGTTTCCAGTGGCCCAATGTTCACCTCGCAAAAGCTGTCATCACTACTGTCAATTGTACAGAGGCCCAGGACTAAATGGGCCATGTAGACTACTCTGTTATTTTACCTGAGGGGAAGTCACTAAAGGGCAAGATTAGGAAGTGTGGTGGGGTGATTTGGAGGGGAACTGGTAGCATTGCTGTCTGTACTGTATCAGTTTTGAGGTTAAATAGAGGACTTCTGTCTCTAGAGTTTTTAATGTGGCATCTTTCACTAGCACCAAATTCTCACAGAAGTGAAAAAAAATGGGCTTGGTTTTCCACTGCATTGATATAACTCCATTAAAATCAATGGAGTTATACCAGTGTAGAGCTGGGGTAATGAAGGGGAGAATCAGGCCCTATGTGTCTGCAGTCTCCAAAAGGTTAACATTATTGAGAATTATATGAATGCACCCATGAGAGAACAGACTCCTACGACTTTAATGAAGTTTCTCTTAAAACTGTTTAGTGAAATACCCTGGGAACAGAACAAGGAGAAGGTCACTCTGATGGTATTTCTAAGAATGGCAATAGTGCAGCAGCATTCAGGGAATGTCTTGGAGCAGAATGATTTGGCTTCTTTTTTCTTAACAGAATAAACTGATTAATAAAAAAAATAATTTGTAACAGAACTTTAGGGCTTCTCTTGAATAATGGATACAAGCATTCATCTGTCTACAGTAGCTGATACCTATAAAGCCTAAGACAGACAGACAGAGCCAACTTTTCTGCACCCATCTATTAAATAAACAACTTTGTCTATGTTAAACTTTTCATGCAGATTATCTTTTTCTTCCTCTCAGTATTTAAGATAGTTTCACCATATTGAAGGTTGGTGGCTAAATGGATTGAATAAAAGGTTGTCCCTGTCACTGTAGCTACTGTAAAGAGCTTGGTGATGTTTCTGAGGTGCTCAGATAGGGCTTGATCCTGCAGTGTGCTAAGCTCTCGGGCCCAAACCAGCAATACATTTAAGCATATGCTTAACTTTAAATACATGAATAGTCCCATTAAAATCAATGGAATTATTAAAACATTTAAGCACGTGCTTAAGTAAGCTGCTGGATCAGGGCCAAACTGATCAGAACCTTGCAGGATCAAGCCCCTCACTGCAGTGATGGGGGTCATATGAGAACCTAGACAGAAATGCAATTTTTGTAACTTCTCTTGCAAGCAAGTGAATCAGTGTACTTTCTACAGCAACAGAACACTAGGGGGACCTAGTTATTTGTAATTATTTCTCCAGCAGAACACCACCACTGTCATAAAAGCTGCACTAAATCATCTGAAGGTGGGTCTTTCTTACACTGATGCCATGCAGTCCTGAACTTAATGTACAGACCCCAAACAAAGAGAGTGAGGAGAGGAAAACAGGATCTGTAGGGATCACCCAGGTTAGTTCTGATTTGCCTTTTTTTGACCGGGAGGCGGGAGGGTGATGACGACAGGGGGGGGGAGTTATTTATTTATTTGTTTTCTTAAATGTGTATTATATTATCTGCAGTGAACATCTTATCTACTATAACCAAATATGGGGACTCATTACAGGATGGTTTTCCACTCACCCGGTTACAGCAAGCTTAAAAGTTGTAGTGCAGACAGGGTCTAACCATATCCCAGCAGTTGGGATCTACACTATAATTTTTAGCCCTGTTGTAGCTAGGCCTGACGACAAGTTTTGTAAGTTGGTCTTGGTGATAATTGTAGTGAAAATGGGAAGACTTTTAGGTTGAACTTTCTCTTTTAATTTAAGGAATAAGAAGGGAAGATCCTTTCTGGCTGATTGGAAGCAATAGCTCAATAACTTGCTTGATTCTGTGGATATTAATATTTTTCTTGTTTTGACTCACCATGGACTCCAGTGCAAACAAAACACTCTCTTAACTCCTTGGGACAAGAGCTGCCTCTCCTCCATCTTCTTCCTCAATTAAATTTAAAATCCTACAAGGCTTTGGTTTGTAGGGAGGAGGCTCTGTGTTGTTAATAGGGCTGTGCACTCACATTCTGCGTAAACTGTAATCAATGGTAAAGTCTTGGAATTTGTATTGGCGTTTAGGTTTTTTATGGTGTTTGCAGGAGTCTTCAAAGGGGCTGAAATAACAGGACATCTACTCTTCTCATGCTGTCTCCATCATCCAGGAACAGAAATGTTGTGAAAGGAAAGGGACTGACTCTATGATTCCTGCATCTTGAGATGTCATTTACACAGTGCAACGTGGGTGTAAAATGCTACCAGATTAGGATGGTACTGACATTACACAGGTGTGAATGACTGCACAAGGTGTAGGTGCAATGGTGAATGAGGCCCCAGGACTCAGGCTTAATCATGCCCCCATTGAACTGGGCAGTGAAGCTACTAAAGGCTTCAGAAGGAGCACGGTCATGCCCTTTGTGTTCTTTTTACCCCATCATGCTTCTATAGGCATTAAAAAACCCAAAACGTGACTAATTAATACGATTAAACACAAGGGGCCAAACTCAGCTCCTTGAAACACAAATACTAGGCTCGGCTCACAGCTCCAATTGCTAATAGTTTTCATCTAGTTTCCATGAGTGGTAAAGGGACATGTTTACTTTCCATCCCTATTAATAATTAGCACGATACATCTTTAAAGTGCTTTACCAAAGGTAAGTAATTCATCATGATTGACACCATGGATCTTCTCTCAGGCAATTGATTTCTCCTCCTGCACGGGTAGTATTCCACGAGCTAATAATGGTTCCAGGCGTCTACTCCACAGATGAGTGTGAATCTAGGCCCTGATTCTCACTCTCTTATCCTAGTTTTAAGGCAGTGTAACTGTTGATTTCAACAGAGGTGCACTGGCATAAAACTGGTCTACCAGAGTAGAGAATCAGGGCCCCTCTCCCAGATAAATGTGTGCTGCTCTCCTGAAACATACTGAATCTCCTACTGGCTCACATTGCCACCGATGGAACTAAGTCTTGCAGGGTCTGGGTGTGCCTCTCTTCTTATCTCAGGTCGTGTCTACACTACAGGCACTACCGCGGCACAGCTATGGTGCTGTAGCAATGCCACTGTAGTCCTGTAGTGTGGACACTTCCTACAGTGATGGGAGGGGTTTTTTTTGTCACTGTAGGAACTCAACCCCTCTGAGTGGCGGTAGCTAGGTTGACAGAGGGATTCTTCCATCAGCCCAGCCACGTCTATCCCAGGGGGCTAGCCCAGCATAGCTATGGCACTTAGAGCTGTGAATTTTTCACACCCTTGAGCAACGCTGGGGTGTTGATCTAAATTTTCAATGTTGACCAGGCCTCAGTCAGCCCCTTCACCAAATATTAATGTAGGTTTTTGTTTCTGGAGCTATGCAGTCTCACTGTTAATCACTTGTGTACCACTTAGTGCCTCACTGCATCATTCCTAATGCACTAAAAGTCATCCTGACAAGTATAGCAAAGCCGCTTTAAATCCCTCCTTTCTCCTCCCGTCCACCCCTCGAGATCAAGCAGCTTTTCAAGTGAACAACTCAGCACCCCGTGCCTAAGAGCATGGAACCACCTTTCCGTAGGAACGTTGTCACATTTCCAGGACTCCTAAGCATACAGGAATTCCTGTAAGGAAAGCCAAGTGTTCTTCAGGAAAGTGTGTGTCACAGAGTAGGACAATTTCTGTGTGATGGGAAGTCATGCCATGTCCAGGAAAATCAGGGTAGGTTAAATATGGCACAATAGCAAAAACTGATGAAGAGCTTGGCAGCAGAGTGGTTTGAGAATAAATGTCATTTATCATCCATTGCTATAATAAGATCAGCTTCTTTCCCAGTAGATCACAGCCTCTTACTAAGGGATCAGTTCTGCCACTTAAATTGCCTGTAAACGCTACAGAATATTAGTATTTAGAATTTACATTGCACACTGTACCCACATTCACTAACTAATCCTTCTAACATTTACACAAAATAGGGACATAGGCAGGTATTGTTGTTCCCATTTTACAGAGATTTTTAAGTGTCTTGCCAAAGATCAGAGAAGGAGTTACTGGGCCAGTAACCTGCTTCAGGTACTCTCAGATGATGCAAAGCAGATAGAACCCTCATAGATCTGGCTACTTGGGAATTCCCTGTGACTGGAGAGGAATTCCTGGGTGGTGTGAGGATGGTAATTAGCTCTACTACATTCCCATGCCCTGCCCCCAGTATGGTGGGGGGTAAGGTCAAGCAATAGGACATGTGGTTGGATCACCTCTAAGTTCCCTGGCTGTTTGAACAGCATCTTAGAGGTCATAGACAGCTGGGTATAGTTTACAGCAGCCCCGAGATTGCTCTAAGTCACACTCTAGGCCAAAGCTTCCCCTGACCAGGGAGGAACAAAGGCAGCTTAAAGCCATCTTTTCTTCCCCCTCCAGTGGAGCTCAGCCAGACCAAAGGATCTTCCCCAGTGTTTGAGCCAAGACTAGGAATGTCCTCCAATCCAGAGATAAATTATTTTTCTCGGTTCTGTAGTGAGATGCCCTCAGACACTTCATAGGTTGTTGCTTCTTGTTTTCATGGATTTGTTGATTTGACTTGACTGCCAGATGCTGGGACTGGATGACAGTGGACAGATCACTCGATGATTGCCCTCTTCTATTCATTCCCTTGAAAGTACCTGGCATTGGCCACTGTCGGAAGACAGGCTACAGGGCTAAGATGGACCACTGGTCTGACCCAGTATGGACATTTTTATGTTCTGTGTTCATGTACATTAGGTTTCAGTTCCTTCTTCACATATACTGCGGGGATATTCCTGGAAGTCACTGGGCACTGTGTGCGCATAGCTGGGAACTGCGTTAGTCTCTTAGGCCCAGAGTTTTAAAGGTATTTAGGCATTGCTGGGTTCAGTATTACAATACTTAACTGATTTAGGAGCCTAAATCTCATTTTCAAAAGGCATTTAGGTACTTAGGAGTCCAAATCCCAATGCCAATCTCTTTTTCTGGGAGGGAGGAGAAAATATAAATGAAAGAAGCACACAGCAATGAGGGGGTCACTAGAGCGGTGCTCTGTTTCACAAGGCAATGATCTGTGCTTCACTAACTTTGAAGCAGAAGTAAAGTCTGAGCAGCTGTAATTCAACTACAAAGGAAGCGTAATAGGGAGGCTTGCCCCTTATGGGCTGGAGCTAGCCAACCCTGATTATGGAATGAGGCACACCTGAGTTGAATCAGGCAATTCCCTATAAAGGACAGCAGCTGGCTATAGAGAAGAGGAAAGCATAGGAAGTGGTGGTGAGTAAGAAAGGGTGTTTACTGAGGAGATCCTGAGATCAGGGGGGTTTGGGAGAGACTGGAAAGGCCCTGGGCAGGCAGGAGGAAGAGAAATCTTGTGTTATGTGGACTTGGTTTAGAGATGTTGAGTGTTATATGCAGTTTGTTTTATATGTATAAACCTGGTCCCCACGGTGGAGTATTATTGACCAAGGAAAAACCTGAAGGAAGCTTCTATTTGAACAGTCCAAGAGGGGAAACTGAGTCAGCCTGCCTGTAGTATGCCCCTATATCATAAAGGGGTGCATGGGAGATGGTGGGCCCAGTTACAGGAAGCAACTAAGGAGGCAATTTACTTTTAGAAAGCTTTAGGTTTTCCCTCCCTCCTAGCTAGGTCACACCCAGCTTCATTCCTCCAATAGCTTGGAAACTTTTTTCCACTGGCTAAAAATAAGACTGCCTTTAACCCCATTCCCCAGCTGCTCTAGTAGTGCCAGTTCTGCTTTCCCCTCACTCCAGGCTCAGCTGTCTTAGCTCACACAGAGCCCACTTACAAAATCTAAATAGCTACAGAATAAGAAGTTTTAAAAGGGGTCTGGAAAGGGAGGAGGAGATGAGTGTGGAAGGGGGAGACTAGAACTTAAAGAGAGGAAGTTGCAATGTTCCATCTACAAGAAGGCCCAAACCAATACCCCAGACCCAACCAACCCTTTGGATCTAGATCTGAACTTGGTGTTTGGCTTGGCCTGAACTTCTATGACTGGCCAATCCCTAACCCTGGATTGAAATGTCCCCTAACTTTGGGAACATTCAGGTCTGGAGCTGAATGTTGTGGTTCAGGCCCTTCTGTGATGCCAAAGCAGACTTTAATTTAGCAGAGCAATATTTGGGCTAGTATCTTTGTGTTGGAGCAGCTGAGAGCCTCCTTTTGTAGTACTGTGAGGACTGCTACAAATAATTAGGTAGCTATTATATTGACTTCCTTTGAACAAAGGATGCTGTCCAGTTGTTGAGGCCCAGCACTTTGAATTACGTTACATCTGTTACTAATCTGGAGGGACTTTCAGCTCTAGATACTTTTTTTTTTAATATTCATTGAGAAACCTAAGCAAACCTCCTCTCTTCATACTGAACCTGAAACAACAACAACAAATAACTTTTACTCTTCTAGCAGCAGCAGTTAACTAA